ATGGGGATAATAATTAAGCCTTTTTGTCTGGACATGATTATTTAGGTTTTGGTAAGAGAAAGATAATTAATTAACTTGACTAAGTGATTCAAAACGACATCGTCTTCAAAGATCGCTTGGTTATTAACTATGATGAGTTCCTTCTGTTGAAGAGAAGAAGAGAGCGCAAAGAGTTTGAAATTTCGAGAGAGAGAGAGAGACCAAACAACACAACAACACCGGACGACGAATCTGATTCACTAATTCCGGCGTAAGATGCATCCCCCTCTGGAGACTCCTCCTCCTCAGCAGCCGGAGCGATGCCGTCCGATGACCTCGACGGTATCGGAGATCGAGGAGGTTATTACACCAGAGGACTCCGAGAGAACGACTTTTCTCAACGGCTCGTCTTCAACCGAACCGGTGCGACGTCGAGTGTCCGGTAAGTCTACCGTGGAAGGAGGATCTCGTCGTATTTGCCGCCGGCAGCAGTCGTTCGGCCGAGACATCGGACACGCGGCGGCGGAGACGTACCTAATAACTGGTCTTAGCTTCAAGCTTCTTCGATACCTCGGGTAACTGATCTCTCATTTTTTTGCCGGTTTTAGGACAGGTGTGTGTGTAGTGATGATTACGCACGAGGAGGAGTTTGTGATTGGTTAATAGATATTAGCTGGCTCTAAAAGCATTATCTGCACGGTATTGCTAACTATATTATATAATATACTCGTAGTTGTTGCTTGTTCTGTAATGAATCAATGTAACTCTGTTCTGTCTTGTGTTTTGCAAGTTGCGTGAGGTTTAGGAACTTAGGTCTAATTAGGAAAGCTACTCCATGTGGTGTTGATTTTATTGAACATGTGATAGCTTACTTGCATTGTATATCATGAAAGCCTTGGAGATATGGTTTTTTTAAGTCGTTTTTTTTTTAAATTTCAGCAAGGATTTTATTTAATTGTGTTAAGTCATGTTCAGGGTAGGCTATCGATGGATCATGAAGTTACTTGCTCTTACATGTTATGCTATGCTGCTTATGCCTGGCTTTCTTCAAGGTTTGATTTTCTTTTTTTTTTCTTTCTTTGGTGAATGGTGATAAATAATTGCGTAGAGAAGAGACATCATTCTGTCTTCTGGTAAGCTAATCTTTATGTTTCTCATCTCAAAGTCTTTTTTTTTTTGGTCTTGTGCAGTTGCATACATGTATTTTTTCTCATCGCAAGTACGGAGAAGTGTAGTGTATGGAGATCAACCAAGGAATAGGTTTGTGTGTGAACTGATTTTAATCTTACTTTCTCCTTTCACATTGGCTTAAATCGTTTTGTCTAAGACCGTTGATGTAACGCTTGTGTATGAATGGCGATTCGGTAGGCTGGATCTTTACTTACCAAGCAACAGCGATGGTAAGAAGCCGGTTGTTGTTTTTGTGACTGGTGGAGCTTGGATTATCGGGTGAGTAGTACTTTGAAGTTACAGCATTCCCCTAAGCATTAGATTAAAGTTCATTCGTTTTACAACGCTGTGAATGTAGTTTGGTGTAGGTGTAGTAAAATATATCTCATGTCTCAGTTCCCCTGCGCAGTTATATAAGTTTTGCTCTCACTGTTCTTTTGTTGATACTTGTGTTAGTAAAACGTTAAAGATCCCATCGATGTGCTCTGTATTCTTGTATCACCCAAGTTTCACTTGCATCTTGCACTAGATGGAGTCGTGTGTTAATGAATTCATATTTTTGCTACTCTGGTGCTGGTATATAGGTACAAAGCTTGGGGCTCGCTCCTGGGAATGCAGCTAGCAGAAAGGGATATCATTGTAGCATGCGTTGACTACAGGTAATTAATTAAAAAAACACACAATGTAAATCTACTAAGATGGTATATTCCACACACAAACAAAAATAGTATAGCTCTGTTTGGAGCTTTTAAGGATTTGAAGATCATTGAATTTTTTATTTTTTTTTCACCAAACTCAATCCCTTCCTTTATTTGGTGCAGAAATTTTCCTCAGGGAACAATTAGTGATATGGTGACGGATGCTTCTCAAGGAATCTCATTTGTCTGCAATAACATCTCTGCATTTGGAGGTGACCCCAACAGGTTTCCATCAACTCACTGGCTTTGTCTTAATCTCTTCCAACTTGGTCTTGGGTACTGAACTGCATTTATGTAGGATATACCTGATGGGACAATCAGCTGGTGCACATATAGCCGCTTGTGCTCTATTGGAACAAGCTACTAAAGAATCAAAAGGAGAGAGCATCTCCTGGAGGGTTTCCCAGATAAAAGCTTATTTTGGATTATCTGGAGGGTACGTTTTATGTGCTTTTGATTATATATATTCAGTTTGATCTGCTACTTATCATATTGAACTTGATCAGGTACAATCTATACAACTTGGTTGATCACTTCCATAACCGGGGACTCTATCGCTCGATTTTCCTAAGGTAAACCATCAGTTAATCACATCCTAAACGTAGTCTGATTAGATCTATATATCTTTATAATGATCCAAACTCCAACTTGTAGCATAATGGAAGGAGAAGAATCCTTTGAAAAGTTCTCTCCAGAAGTGAGATTGAAAGACCCAATTGTTGGAAAAGCTGCGTCTATGTTGCCTCCAATTATGCTTTTCCACGGATCCTCAGATTATTCAATACCATGCGATGCAAGGTATATATATGATCATTCTCTTGCTAATCATAACCCTTTTGCTTTTACTAAAACCACCTCTTTTCCTTTTTGCAGCAAAACTTTTGCAGACTCTCTCCAAGCTGTTGGAGCAAAAGTGGAGCTTATTTTATACAATGGAAAAACACATACAGATTTGTTTCTTCAGGTAAGCTACATAACATTGTGTCACAGAACTCAGTTTAGTGTTGTGTATTATAATAAAATACGTGAGGGTATTTGTTTTTAGGATCCCTTAAGAGGAGGTAAAGATGAACTCTTTGATGACATAGTCTCTGTGATACATGCCGAGGATGATGACGCGCTGGCCAAAGACTCATTGGCTCCTCCAAGAAAGCGTCTTGTCCCAGAGTTGTTGCTGAAACTAGCTCGTGAGGTTAGCCCCTTCTGATAGAAGCTAATTACTTGCTCTGTACTTTCATTTCTTTCTGTTATTCGATTTGTATCGTAAATATAAATAGAAACTCTCTCGTCTGTTATGTTGTTGAAGCTGAAAGCTATTACCTTTTATTTCAAAACTCTTCACAATCTAGCTTAAAGTGTCAATCTGATTAGAATCATTAGAATATGTTTAGGATTCAAAATATAAGTTTTGTGAATTCAGTCATGTAGGTATGAACTCATATCAATATGATTACTTCTGCAAGTTTGAAATCTCTAGAAAAGGTTAAATTGATACTATCCAGCTTTATCATATCCTCAAAAGGTGATAGATAGATGTGAAATTCTCATGGACTGGTGCATGTTTTGTTACTATGAATATGGTGGTGACCATATGAAAATTGAATTGTATAAACAATTAAACATGCATATCATATTATCATATGTGATGATACAAGTATAACCAGCCTTATTATTCACCTTTGGACTCACCATTTGCCGCAACTTGTGGCTCATGGTCTTCCTAATCTTTAGATGCGACATGGTAGTTTGCAATTGGCTACTCGGATATCCCTAATTTTCCATGTCAGCTTGACCGATCTGAGTGAAGCAAACAAATGGTTAAGAGCTTAAAGTTCAGAAGTTGATAACCAGTTCTACAAAAATAGTAACAGATAATACGAAAATAGTTCAAAAGTTGCAACTTAGACGCTTCGTATTTGTAACATCATGATGTGCTGAACATACGCTGGTGAAGCATGTTAGTGCCGTAACAACTGAGTTTTAAAAGTTGAAAAAATTATAAGTTCCTGAAGTGTTTATGTAAGTATCACATGAAGTAATACAATTTCCTGAAGTGTTTTAAGTATTACACCATCAACACCGTTCCTCTTTTATGGGCCTTATTAAGCCAATGCCGAAACAAAGCTCACTGAAGCCCGTCTACAAAACCAAGGATCTGATATAGAGAAAGTGCCAAAATTAATAGCATCACGCGTCAGCTCATAAAAACATGTTATCCTATAGTTATAACCCTCTTTAGATCCATGCATTATACCATATTTATATATTTATTTAAACGTTTCGTATTCTCTAATAGATTTTCTCGGATGAATCTCTATAAATTAGAGAGGAGCGAGAGTTTTTCATCACAATTGTTGCAACCAAAAAAATAATTGTTTTTTATCCACAATCGTAGCGATCAAACATGAGTTAAGAAAATCATTCGTAGGAGTCAAGGAATTTTTTTAAAACGACGATGTTTTACATCGAGCATGCATGCTATTCACCGACGAGTGTAAAGGCAATAATGAATATGAGGATCAAATTTATTAGATATACGTTAATTTCACAAATCCACTTTCATCTGTTTTTTTATGTCAAGAGAAAAGAATTCGATAAAGGACTCTGCTAGAACGATCCTCACGAAGAAAACAATACTCCCTCTGTTTCAATATAAGTGTCACTCTACAGCTATGCACACGGATTAAGGAAACAATTAATTTTACATATTTCCTATATAAAAACACAATTACCCATACACCTAACCATATTTTAACCAATAGAAAAACAAATTACATAATAAAATTAATACATTTTACATTGAAAACCGAAAACGACACTTATTTTGTAACACAAAAAATTCTCTACAATTACACTTAATATAAAACGGAGGGAGTATATAATTATCAAAGACCTTTTTGAGTAATTTAATTTCATTAATTGGCTAATCTGTCTTTGTCCAAAAAAAAAAAAAAAAAAAATAATTGGCTAATCTGTCGTCCTGGGTTAGGAGAGTTGGTGGTTCTTGTTTGTCTTTCTTATGCACGTATACTTAAAATATGCACTCTCTTTTCGACTAATAATTATTTTCTTTGTTTACAACTTTAAAATTATATCCTAATAATAATTTGTATATCTATCTTTTTCAAGTTCAAGAAGATATATCCATCATATCCAAATAGTATCTTCTTATATAGAAATCAGATTATAACATATAAAAGCAATCTTCCAAATCATTATTCATGATCACAAGTAGCTAGAAATGAAAGCTCATACTTGGGTACGTAGTTAAACCGTTATAAAAAGTAACGTTTCAACGGTGCTAGACCTAAGTTTAGCCCAGAGAAAAAAAAACATAAGTTCCACTTTGTTCTCGGCTCATAAAAGATATATATGAGCCAGAGTTTTGTGGATGCAAAAAAGGAGATAGATTAGCGGTAGAGACTTAAAGTTCGATCTGAACGAACAACTCAAGATGGATGATGAGTCCTTGGATCATCTGTAATACAAGAGAAGTCTTGATCAAACTCATGATCCAACAATGAAGAACAATATATGCCATGGATGCTTGTGCTTCCTCCTCCTCCTGCTCCTCCAAGCTTCTTCATAGATGTGATAACTTGACGAAGTTCCATGTTTTCCTCTTTAAGCCTCAAGTTATCTTGAAGAACAAGATCATTGCTATCCGAGGCTTTGTTAAGCTTATCTAAAAGCTGCTGGTTCTCGCTTCTAAGCCAAGCAACCTGCGAGAGAAGTTCATCCAAGTGTCTTTGCTTCCTCATTCTTGACCTTCTTGCTGATTCTCTGTTAGATACCATACGTCTTTGCTTTCTCTCATTGATGACGTATATATCTTCAGTTGCTTCATCGGACGTGGTGGAGATGTTGCTTGCTGGAGATTGTAGATTGAGTTCTTGAATTTGAGGGTATGGAAGAATAAGATTGAGATTGTTATTGGTTGAAAGGTTTAGGTTGTTGTAATAGTGGTTTAAGTGGAAGTAGTCTTGTTGTTGCATGTTGTTAAGACTTGAGCTATCATAATTTGGATGCATGGTCAGTGTCTCGCTCTCTCCCTCTTGTTAGAGTTAAAAGAGGATGAGTTAATGGTGGAGACTGAATGAGAAGGAGTCTTTATACAGCAGAGAAAGGCATAGAAGTGGACCACATCTTTTGCAAATTGGTGGCTTTCATGACACATATGCTTAAGGGTTTTGCTTTTGAAATAAAATAATTTGGATTATGCCTTCTACATGATCCATTGGCATGTTTTTCTTCTATATTACTGAGAAGACTTTTAATAGTGTTTATTTATTAACAGGTTGTTATATGAATATACAATATAGTGTATTGCCCAATCAGAATGTTATTTTTAGGTAAATAATGATAAACCAGTACATGTATAAACAGGTTGATCATGAATCCAAATGAGTTGGTTCAATTGACATATTGTTTATTTATGAATCAGTTGATGCATTAGAATGATACTTGGGAAAGCATGGCTTGTCCTCTATCATAACCATTGCTTGCACGGTGTATCATGTATACAGAACTTATATACGGTGACCCATGGAGGTGGTACATCGTAACATCGATAATATGATATGATTAGTTTAATAACCAAGTGGCCGGCAAGTTGTTGTAGCCGGTGCAGTGTGACTATGTGAGTGTAGGAGGGTACCATGGCCATCTAGTGGCATTAAACAGGTGCACATACATGAAGCATGATCATGATGTTCACGCATGATTGAAACTGATAAAGGTTTATATATCATGGCCATGCATTATGATGATAATGACACATGAGAGTTAAGCACGTTATGTATATATTGACATATTGTGGATAAAATCAAGTTTGTATCAGTGTTTTGTGCTTACATCAGAGAGAAAAACACAGTTGTGGGGTTTCAAAATTATTTGAGTTTAGAAACAATGCTTTTGCTAGCCAAAATATAAAGTGGTAATGATGCCAAATAAGTCAATTTATAAATATACATACATACTTTATTTCAACATCTACACAACTCACCAATTTCTCTTCTTCTTTTTCTCTGGAAAAATAAGAAGATTATCTCTTGGACTCTTGTGATTTGCTTCTCTTCTCTTGTAATAACATCGATTATTATATGGTTAATTTCCTACCTAGAACTTTAGAGGCCGTAGATCATATATAAAACAACGTAGAATTAACTAAATCTAGACTACTACGTGTTTTTTTTCCTGCACAATGTACAGCCATAAAAACTTTAAATTTAAATTATATTTAAAATAAAATTTTATTAAATCTTAATTTTTATTATTTCATATATCAATATTTCAATATAAATATTGAGTTGGTTAAATATAAAATTAAGATATAATAAACAACCTGATTTATTTTAAATTATATTTAAGAATATATATGTATATATTTAAATTAGATTTAATCTTAGATAGCTTTTCGTTTATTTTTTTTGCGGTAATATATATTAAATTAACTTATATAAAATTAAAAATAATTGATATAAAATTATATAATTATACAAAAATAAAACTAGACATCATTTCTAAAATTTGTAGAAAAAAGAAAACAAATGGTATTGTTACTAAAAATTTATATTTTAAAAAAGATTATACAAATAACTGAAAATCTTTTTAGTTATAAAAACTGTATGATTATAAAAATAGACTTAAATAATATTTAAAAATAGTTTATATTTCTATTGTTATATTACTTACTAGCATATTTGAGTAGATTTATTTTAATGATGATGTATGAGTTATTACTATATTATAAAAAAAAATTAGCAAAAATTGAAATCAAATTGAATGTATTGTCGATGTTACATAGCCATAAGTCATTTCATCATTTTTAGTATTTCATGTCAGACCGTAAAAGTGATTGTAGAAATGACATATATCAAATCAATTTTCAAATGATGTCTAGAAAACTCAAATTAAAGAAGTAAATGGATAGCTAAATAATCTACTAAACTAGATTTTTTTTTTTTGAAATGGTACTAAACTAAATTAGAATTTTGCAAAAAAGTTTACTATATTTGATCCATATTGTTTTTAACTTATAAGGTTTAGGTTGAAACCCATATGCATAATCCAAACATGAAATCATAACATTCGTCGTAGGCAGTTGTCATCCTAAATCAGTGTTTATTTCACTTTTACACACAAAAAAAAACATTTGTCGTACTTCGTAGGCACCCCTTGATCATGTAACCTCTGAACTTTATTTTTTCTTAACATGGTTTTAGCCTCCGAAGTTTATTGTTAATACTTTCCCGCCGAGTTAACTAACTACACTTGGTAAACGGTTGTTTACTCGTTTATGTTCGAACACAACCATGTCATAAAGAACTTTCACCCATATATTATATATATGTAAAAACTATAAATACGAAGTGCAGCAGCACCAGCGAACTTTGTGCCAGATTCGCCACGTGCCCTTTTCCAATTTTTTATTTTATTTTTTTCGTTATTTTTTCTTTAAAAAAATAAAAAAAATTAGACCTATCGTGGGCCGCCACGTGGCGTGGGGCCCGCATAACAGTTATATATGAACTCGCCTCTTGCGGACAACCCCCCACGACCCTGGTTCATAAAAATAACATTATTTAATTTTTTTTATTGGTTTCTGTGTAAAATCCCCCATTGAACCTTTAATGGGGATGCTCTAATAAGCCATCTACTGTACATAGTATCTTAACCATTTGTAAATATATATTTTTGATGATTTCTAATAAATCTCAAACATATAAAAACACATGCTAATTTTTGGGGAGTTATAGTCCACCGATAACTTATATAATAACCTAGACTAACTTTTGGAAGAAGTAAAGTTTATTGTAGTGATGGGTCTTTTATCCAATATCCGAATCTGTTAAAAATTAAATTGAAATTTGAACCGAAACAACAAAATACTCAAATAGATATTTACTTCTCTCTTTTAAACATATATTAAGTTAGGAGAGATTTAAACAGTTCGTCCTCAAACGACTCTTTCAGTTTGAGGTAATAAATCATGCAGTCAGTAATCAAATTTTATTTTCATTACGTATCTAATATCATTAAAACAAGTCGTCTAAAGATCATGTCTATACAAGAACTTAACTTCCAACTTTTTTTTTGTGGTTTCCGTGTGAACCCCCCATTTGAACTCTCAATGGGGATGCTCTAAAGCCTTTTGGTCTCAAAAAAAAAAACTTTATGCCCTTTAACAAGAAAAAGAAAAAAACTTCCAGCTCTTCAATATATGGTCAAAGAGCACTATTAATAAAAACCAAACAAGCTCCTTAGCTGCACTATGAAAACAAAATGTGATAGGTATAAATTATACCGTATAATTTTTTTTTGTCATCAACTTAAACATTAAACAGACTCAAATAATATTCTACAAACCAAACATGCAATTTCGTATCAATGAATGACGTAGGACGGGGCAGTCAAATAATATTCTACAAACCAAACATGCGATTTCGTATCCATGAATGACGTAGGACGGCCTGATTTGTCGTTTTATAATGTTCATTACAAAGGAATACATGTGGTGTAAGAAACAGCCACTAAACATACACACTTGCAAAATGATTATGGTTTAAGACCAATATTTTGGCTTAAGTTAACTAACTAATATAACCGAGTGCATATTTGATCATTTCGTTGTAGAACTGTTTCGACTTTTTATCGCCGTCTTAGAAAATCATTTTGGTTTGTCCTATAGTTTACCTGCCATAATTTCGTTGATAAATAAATAAAAACTATTCAATAATTGGAGAATGAACAATTCTTCTTTGGTCCTCTTTTTCTTTCTTTCTTGGCACTATTTTAAATTTAGAACGTATCTTTCTTTAAATAACCAAAAACTTAGGCATGCATGGGTTTAATATAATCTATATATATGCATATTGCTATTGGTCATAGACCTTTTGGGTGTTCACAGAAAGTTATATACCACAGTAATAGAGCTTGCTTTTTTTTTTTCTTTTCCAAAAGTTAATTTCAGGTTCTACTGTTTTAGTGATGCATACCTTACCACTTGAAGAAATCATATTTTTCAAAAGTCCATTAGTTTTTGCTGAACAGGTGTAGTGTAGTTCTTGTATGTTGGATTAAATATCCATTTGAGATTAATAAGCTTAAATGAATCGGACTTTCATCTTAAAACACTGATAATAAACTGAAAAAAGTTTATATCCATCAATAAACTTTATAATTTGAAATTCACAACACATGAAACTTTGCCGACTGGTTTAAACCCTGAAATTGCATAATTTGGAAAATCTAATGACTATTGAATGAAAGAGAGTGTAACTGTGTTGGTCAAACAAAAGGCAAAATACACACCATCAAGTCATATCTTTCAGACAAAGTCTATTTCTTCTTTATTTCAGTCCCATGTCCTTTTGCACGGTTTGTTCTTCTTCCACAGCCTTATTTTTTCTCCCTATCTCTCTCTCTTTTTTTTTTCTTTACTTTCTCTCCAATTTGCTTTTTCTTTCTGTTTTCTTTATTTGATATTCCTTTAATCTTATTTTTATTGGGTCATAAACTATAAAAGTGGTTTGAATGTTTCATTGTTTTGGTCCCATCAGTAACACTATCACCTGATAGTGGCCTACCTTGAGTTTTATATCCTTTACCAAATAATTCCCTTTAGATCTTATAAATTTATTAGTAATTACCATGTGAATTTCTTTCGGTATGGAAATATGGTTTTCTAGCTAAAACTAAGTTTGTATATGGAGCTACGTTTGTCCCAACAAACAAAAAGAAACTAAAGAGTTGTGTTTTTGACTGGTTGATAAAAAAAGAGGTTCTCGATTGTTTAGCTCTGACATTCATTGTCCCCTTAAGTACCATATTAAAGTTCGATTACATTGATCTTCTTCGTTAAGCAATCATCAATATATTAATTTACTGAAAATGGATGATGTCATGATGGTCCGACTGATTGGTGGATTAAGGATAAACCAATCACCAAAGCGAAGTCTATTATATCATCAAACCTTTTGCGATAATTTTTTTTTAATAACACGTCTTTTATTCATATGAAAACTTTATAGTTATATACCCATTTTAGACTTATATAATTTTCGTTTGTACCTATAAATCATTCTATCCAATTTACCAAATGGAGAAATAGAATACTCAAATATATTTTAACAAATATGCATGCCTAACTTCTTATTAGTGTCTGCGTTCAGTTGCTGTAAAGTCGATCCATATTTATATATATAACTATTAACTTACCAAGAAAACTACACAGAATAAAAACAAATTTCTCACTTTAGTTAATCAACAATACATAGTTTAATCACGGATACGTAGTCCAGTTTTCTTCTAGTTGATAAAGGTCAAAATAATGTGATGATTTTCTTGTAATTAGCTTTTATTAAGGGCTTGCCTCCACTATCACTACCAATTTGTATCATTATCGTCAGTCATAATCATAAAAGTTATATGATTGTGCTACTTAATTTTACCATGCGTAGCAAAAAGTAAAAAAGATTCAAATAATTCACTTGTCATTGTCTAATATTTTTCAAGATTATCTATTTTTGGCTAATTTATTTTCGGCAATGTATTTTTAGGTTTTGAGATACTTTTAGTCTTTTGACGTATTATGGTCGTATCCAAAAATTCAAATAACCCACTTGTCATTATATTCCACTCTCTTTTTCTGTAACAACATTCTATTCCACTCTATCATTGGCTTTTAAATGTTAAAAATAATTACTATTATAATCTTTGCTTGAGAGTAGTTGATGTGCATTTTGGTCTACAAAGCTTAATGTCCCTTAAGGAGAAAAGAGAGAATCCTAAGAGACAAAAAGACAGAGTGGGAGAACGTCATGGAAAACTTGGGCTCAAATTTCAATCCCAAAATGATTGAAGTAATAATTATCAAATGAAACATTTCAAACGGTGTGATGAAATTATTTTTGATGTGATGTTATTCACCCACCCCAACTAAAATACATTACGTTTTATTCTTGTTTTTTTTTGTAAACAGTCTTATATTGACGATGTTGCTTACAAATATCTTGATACACTTCAATCATTTTTAATCGAAACAGATCCACACTAATAATTTTTAATAGTTAAAACATAAATCAAAGATGACAAGAAAATGATTGTCTAGATAATGTAGAAGATGACCATTAAGATATAAGTCAAAGAGTATTCAAGAAATAAACGAGTGTTTTATAATAGAAATACGAAGATGCTTTCACCACATATTTCATATATATATCGTCTAATCAATCATGAAGTGAACATGCTTCAAAACAATTAAACACTACTCGTTTATAGCTGAATAGTTTGTTATAGATTATTTTCGCATAGATGCTTCACAATAAAAAGATAAATTTCACGTATATATAGTGAAAATCTGAAATCCACATCTACCAACGAAACATAAGAAATTTTGGCATATTTCAACTCAACTCTGGTAACCAAACTTCGAGACTTCTTTCTGTTAATTTAGATGCTGGTGAGGTTCTAGTTCTCAGTTACTTCGTTTTCATATAGTTTTGTTCTTCATAATTTGAGTGTCCAAAACAACAACAAAAAGTTTAGACATTAAGATTATGAAGAACAAAACTATATATATTCTGCAATAAATGAATGCTAAATTACAAAAAAAAAACAGCAATGACTTTCACATTTTATATATATGTGGTTGATGTGAACAACTGATGCAAGTGGTTAAAACTTTAAGAGTTCATAAGGGAGCTTATAGTTTTAAAAAAATATTTAAAATTTACATGTGGAGTATATGTTACATGGAATGAGACAAGGGACATAATTATTGTATGTGAGGATAGCAAATAGTGTTGAGCCAATTGGGTATTCAAGAGCCAGAAAAAGGATTTCCATAATCACAAAAAGAAAAAGAAAAATAAAATCGACACTCAATGTTTCAAGTTTGGCTCTTTAGATATGTAGAGTCACTATAGAGAAAGGAGCTGGCCACTCCCATGTGAAAATGACTATAAGCTTTAATGTTTTTTTTAAAATTTCTTGGAAATAGTTAATTGAAAGAACATGGAAATATTAAATAGGCAACTAGAAGTGTAAACAATACATTAAAATAGTTATAATGGAAAAATCGTTCGCATCGAGATGATTTACCTGATCTATTCAGATCCGACCTTAAGTATTCAGTCCGTGTTCAATCCCGATGTAGCTTACTTACCATCTAGAAATTTTCTAGCGGATGCAGCAAAACGATTGTGTTTAAGTATGGCTTTCTGTGTACGGTGTACCTAAACAATGTCTAAATAATTCAAATTTTAGAAATTGCCAAAAGAAAAAATAACAAAACTATAAAATATGTAAGTCAGACCGAAAATATTAAAAGTGACTGATCAATAAATAAACAATCGAAATCATAGAAACGATTAAAGTAGAAGATGATTAGAATTCCAAACTAGATGTTTGTTATCTGATACTCCCTCCGTTTCATATTAAGTGTCGTTGTAGAGAATTTTTTGCGTTACAAAATAAGTGTCGTTTTCGGTTTTCAATGCAAAATTTATTAGTTTTATTATGTAATTTGTTTTTCTATTGGTTAAAATATGGTTAGGTGTATGGGTAACTGTGCTTTTATATAGGAAATATGTAAAATTAATTGTTTTCTTAATCCATGTGTACAGCTGTAGAGTGACACTTATAATGAAACAGAGGAAGTACTATTTTACTATTTTAGATATTCATTTAAGTTGAAAAGTTTTGTAATAAAGAAGAAAAAAATACATTTGCATACATTCAACTTGATTTACAAAAGAAGAACCAAACTCTAAAGTACTAAAGTAATCGAAGACTATATTTTCTAATAACTATCTAACATTTAACATCTGAAACCCGATCCAAATTTAAAGATTTATAGGAAGTTTTGGATAGTGATTTTACCTATAAAAAGTCTAACATTTCTTGGATTAGTTTTGTATACATGCACATTAGCTGTTGAGTAAAGTTTTGCCATTATTTGCATAAACCAAGTTCAAAACTGACAAATAAAAAAACGATTGAACATGGCATATACATAGTGTTTTTTATAGCTTCCAATGAATCTTAGATTACAGCCAACAAAACTCGAGGATACATAAGTGGAGCAAAAAGCCCAAATATTGGATTAGATCCGGTCCGTATAAGACCAAGTTAAACCAGACCAAATCATCATTTTTAATTTTGTATTTGGTCAACCACTAGCTGGATTGAACGAACTCTTGATGGATCCGGTCCATATAAGACCAAGTTAAACTCTTGATGGATTGTGGATTACGCATCGCATCATCTCTCAAAACCAAGATCAGTATTGTAAACTTGCAGTAGTACATGTATAATCTTGATCGTTAAAAAAGAGTTGAAGAAGCAACAAATTACATTCCAAAACATCATATTTAGAATTAGAACTAATGAACAAACCGTGACTGCAATTCTCAGAAAAAAAACCCTAAAAGATTAATAAACCTAAATAACTTGAATAACACGTTACAGAGGCAAAAGTTCTATGCCAATATGCACATCAAGTAAATCACGAACAGATACTAAAAGATATTAGCTTCATTCATCTACTCAGAGATCAATTAAGTCTACGCCTTTGTGATCTCCTATTACTTTCATACTCAACATCATCAGTAGGCAGCTCATACCGACAAACCGGACACGTGTTCCTTATCCCTAACCACGGCACAATGCACTCTCCATGATAGTAATGCTTACAAGGAAGCCTCTTAACTCTCTCCTCCACCACAATCTCATCTTTGCAGATCGCGCAAGCAATGCTCAACTCTTCAGAGGTGACTCCCACCACATCAGGAAGCTCATCCACAACCCTCTTGGAAGCTGGTGGGCTTCCGTTGACTTCGGACTCTTCAAACGTTCTTGCTAAAACATCCTCGTAGTCTTCTTCTCCGTGGTCCTGAGCAAGTTCATCTATACTAGGCAGAGTAACTCCGTAAGTGGAATCCCAAAAGCCAGTGCCGACCTCCGTTGTTTCTTCAAGGAGATCAGTATCAAAGAAAAGATCAGGCCATTCTTGATTATGATCCCACCAGCTTAGTCCTTCTTCTTCAAGTAGAAGGTTAGCTTCGACAGGTTGTTCTTCATCCACAATCATGGCTTCAACAGTAACACCCGTACCAACTTCGACCCGATCCCAATCAATTTCGACCCGACTTGTATCAACTTCGACCCGACCCGGATTAGTTTCGACCCGACCCGTATCAACTTCAACCAGAGAATCAACTCCGACCCGATCCGGATTAATTTCGACCCTACCCGTATCAATTTCGACCCGACCCGGATTAATTTCGACCCGACCCGTATCAATTTCGACCCAATCCCAATCAATTTCGACACGACCCGTATCAACTTCGACCCGACTTGTATCACCTTCGACCCGATCCAAATCAATCTTGACCCGACCCGTATCAATTTCGACCCGACTCTGATCAATTTCGCCAACTTGAAGCCCTAACTCAACCGAATCATTCGACCCGGATCCGGATCCGGACCCGATTCGGAGCTCTAATTCAATCTCTACCTCCATGTCCTGAGTCCCCCAGATATCGAAATCACACGAAGTACTACTACTTAGCCGTCGATTCAAGCCTATGTACGAGTCTCGATCAAAGAAATCGATGAAGCAGCGATAAGAATCGTATTCAAATTCGGAATCCGAATTCGAATCTAAGAAACGGAAATACGGAATATTGGTTTCTCTCTGGTTAACCGGAGGAGGCAAACCGGCGGAGAAACTCGTAGCTACGGCGATTGAGCTACCGTCACCGTCTTCTTCCTCTGCTTCGAGGTTGATCGGGCAGCCGAAAAGTTTCGCCATTGCTGAGAAGTTTTATGAGAGAAGAATGTTTGAGAAAATAAAGATTCGTATCTATAAACAAGGGATTCGACGGTGTGTGTGTGTGTATATATATGTGGTTAGAACCTTGTGTGGGAAGGTTGTGCCACGCGATAACTACAAACCAAAAAAGGAAAATAAAGAATTTAATTTAAGTTAAAAAAATAATCGCCGTTGCCGGGGATCGAACCCGGGTCACCCGCGTGACAGGCGGGAATACTTACCACTATACTACAACGACTTGTTGTTGGGTTATAGTGTTTCTTGTATTCTGATCATAACGAACTATAAGCAGACACTCGCTTATGGTGATTGTTGTTCGTTGTTTGGTTAAATGCTTCTGAAGCTAGTATGAAATGGTTTCTGATTCTGACGCTACTATGAAACTAATAAAGAGAAACATTGAGAGTTTATTGATGTTGATAACAAAATAATACAAGAGGCGTAATTAAAACTTAAACTTTCACTATTTGTGCTATTGTGCTTGTATAGTAGCATAACTAATGTTAAAACTCAAAGAAAAAAAAATCAGTAAGGGGCAAATAAGCTTTTGCCAGACAAAAAACAAAACATGTACACATTAGCTCACTATGCTGTCGAGGCAATATTCTCTGTTGTCTTCTGGCTGTTCTTCAATGAAATCTTGTTGCTGCTCTTCTTCTTCTCCTGTTTCCTTGTGGCAAATGAGATGCCCGTTAACTGCTTCATGACTAATAAGCGAGTGTCTGCTTTGTAACAAGCAAAGAAAACAAAAGAAAAAATTGGCCTATACAGGTTCGAACCTGTGACCTTCGCGTTATTAGCACGACGCTCTAACCAACTGAGCTAATAGGCCTTTTGTAACAACAGCTTTCTTTTAAGAAAAAGTCCAGTAGTGAAGATAAAAGAAAGGGATCAAGGACCCAAAAAGTATGGCCTATACAGGTTTCGAACCTGTGACCTTCGCGTTATTAGCACGACGCTCTAACCAACTGAGCTAATAGGCCAAGTTGCTATGTAGTGCCTACACACTAAATTGTCCAATCTAGTTTGAGTTTGAGTGTAGGATATTGTTATCAAGCTAAGCAGAGGGAGAAGAGAGCTGAGAAAGTGAAGAGGAAAAAGGAGGATGCAGAACTCAACATCAAACGAGTTGGCTCTCTGCTTATTGGTGCCACCATCACTGTTCCAAAAGTTGACGCTCTCATAATCAGTCCAATGGTAATGTTGAAGTCGTAGCATGTCTAGTCAAAATTCCTTTTGACATGTCTCTTATTCAACATGATCAAGACACTGTAACGGTACCACAAATGAAGTTATGATTCCACTGAAGTCAACAACAAAAATTGCCAAAGAACTTGAAGTGCTCTACAGATTTTAGATTTATATCAAACCATTTAAGAAAAGATCCTTTAAAGAATCTGTTTTGAAATTTCAGAACAGCTACAGAGACCAAATGAAGCTTATGGGTAGATATGAGAACCTTCAGCGTCGACAAAGGTAACTCACTCTATCTATCTATCTCCCTGCATACACATATATCATATACACACAGGCCTATGTACGTACATATGTCATTCTGTAATATTTGTGTGCATTTGTTGGTGCAGAAATCTTCTTGGGGGGGGGGGGGGAGGCTTTAGGACCTCTGAATTCAAATGAACTAGAGCAGCTTGAGCGTCAACTAGATGGCTCTCTCTCTCTCAATCAAGTTCGCTCCATCAAGGTCATAGATCTGAAGCCATATATATACATGTAATTATGCAAACGAGATTAGTGTGTGAAAATGTTTGATGTGTAAATTATATGATTGCTCCTGGCTGGATGCTCTGAGAGTCATGTTATCATTTTAATGCTGTGATCAACCTCACCACAAATGACCTGTTATAAAAAAATAAAATAAAAAAAGACACAAGATTTGGATTAGTAGACACAAGTGGGGCTATATTTATAATGTCTTAAGGATCTTCGTGACATTTGTGTTTTATTGGGTAACCTTTGCTATTTTAAGGACTGAAGTGTATGCAACTTGTTTGTACCATTGAACCTGATCACTTAATTGTCAAAGTACTTCACCAACTGTTTTACTTTGATCAATCTAATCGGCACGCGGACACGTCTGACTATTTTGTTACAATAATTTAAGCTTTTTGAGCTGTACAGAAAGAAGTAAATATAAGTCACGAGACACTATAGCAGCTTAGTAGTTTGGAAGCTACAGTTATATTCTTCCCATGATTCACATTAACAAAGTGAAAGAGATAAGCATTTCCTACAATCTCTTCTTTTTCCGTGGCTCACTCATCTTCACACCTCAGAACTCCTATATAAACAAACCCCTATATTTCATAATATTGAGATAGGGAGACTGAGTTGATCAATAAGTAACTATGGAGATAAAAACCACCTTCTCGGTTTGGTATATTCTTATGATTTTCATAGGTTTGTCTCAAGGACATCAACATCTTAGAAAGAAGACACGCTCTTCTGCAGTTGTTGTTGGAACTGTCTACTGTGACACTTGTTTCAACAGCGCCTTTTCAAAATCACCCAACCACATAATCTCAGGTTTTTTTTTTTCTTTTTCATTCTTGATCATGTTTTACAGAGTACTCTGTTTTTACCGGTGGATCTGCTCTTCTCGCAGGTGCTATAGTCGCAGTGGAATGTCTTGACACAAACTCCAAACCGAGTTTTCGACAAGAAGTGAAAACAGACGAGCACGGCGAATTCAAAGTAAACCTACCTTTCTCTGTAAGCAAACATGTGAAGAAGATCAAGAGATGCTCAGTGAAGTTGCTAAGCAGCTCACAGCCTTACTGTTCCATAGCTGCTTCCGCCACTTCTTCTTCTCTCAAACGTCTTAAACGTAGAAAACACGGAGAGAACACTCGAGTCTTCTCCGCAGGGTTCTTCACTTTCAAACCTGAGAACCAACCAGAGATATGTAGCCAGAAACCTATCAATCTCCGTGGAGCCAAGCCTCTTTTACCGGATCCATCTTTCCCTCCACCGATCCAAGATCCGGTTCCGGATAACCCTCTCCCTATTCTCCCAATTCTTCCTCCGCTTGTAGACTTGCCTTTACCTACACTTCCTCCTCTTCTTCCACCAAAGAGATCAGCTTCCTTGCCTAACAAGAAAGATAGTTACTTGGCAGACAAGAATACGAAAGTAGTAAAACCTGATTCCTTTGTTACGCCTCTCCTCCCTCCGAATCCGCTAAACCCGCCATCTGTCATCCCACCAAACCCGGTTACGCCTCTCTTACCTCCAATCCCGATAGTTTCTTCTCCACCAAGTCTTCCACCGTTTCAACCATCTCCTTCCACGTTGGTCCCTCCTACTCGTCCACCTGTTCCGGTCAAAACTCCGCCTTCACCAGAGCCACCTTCTTTCACTATTGCTCTTCCTCCCATCTTCATTGGAGTCCCTCCGGCTTCATCTTCCTTTTCTAGTCACCATGATCAACCCTAGTTTTAAATGTAATCTCATATCTACCATCTTTGTTATTTTTGTTTTTCCCTCAGAATTTTCACTTGTTGGCTTGTTGTAATTTCAATAAATATTATTACTAAGGAGATTTATTTTAAAAAATTTCATTCGTTATCTAATCCTCAACAACATGCAATAACAAGAAAAACAGTTTTAAGCTTTAATACTCGTATGATAATCTGAAGGAGTTTTTGATGTTTGAATATGTAAGATGTTTTCATTTTTCTGAGTACTTTTTAGCTTTATTAAAAATTATATAGTCAAATTGTATTTTGATCTCTATTTTGTAATTGGTTGAATAGACTTTAGTTTATATTTTTGATGTTTTAAGACAAAAGTAACTTTTCTTAATAGTTGTCCATATGTCTTTTTTGTTTTTTTATAACATTGGGAGAGTTCAAGGTAATACAAAAAGGAAATACAAATGAGATAAGATGAGATGTCAGTAGACACCAAAAACACCTTTTATTGTTGAGCCTCCATGGCGAGTAAGTGATGTAGCCACACCATAGCATTTTGGGCGATATACGACTGGTGACGCTGATCACGAGTGACGGTTAACGCAATTGCCGTTGCTGCTTCATTGTGTTCATGAAGAGTGTGATCTAAATTCTATGGAACGATCTTTGCCAGTAGAAAAGAGATACTGTGGCGAATAAGGCTGTGGCTATGGTGTTCATCAGGCTTTGTGAAAACGTCATGTAGCCTCTCCGAGGAATTGTCCAAATGTCTAAAACATCATTTTTGGAACAAAGGGACTGGTTTGGCTTTGATTAAGAGAATAGAAAACTTTTGTAACTATCTAAAAGCTCGAATACCTTTACGTAATTATTACTTTCTTTGTACTATCTATAATATATGGGGTGTTGTTTGGTTAAACATCCAATCCACTCAAATTCTTCTTAACGCGTCTAGATCCGACATGAGTGGAGGAGAGAAACAGACATTCAAGATCCGGAGACTTGACATCTCCGACAAGACAAAGGGATACATCGAACTTCTTTCTCAACTCACCGTCGCTGGATCATTAACAGACGAAGAGTTCGATCAGCGTTTCAAGGAGATAACCTCCTACGGAGACGACCACTTGATCTGCGTGATCGAAGACGTGTCTTCAGGGAAGATCGCGGCGACGGGGAGCGTGATGATAGAGAAGAAGTTTCTGAGAAACTGCGGGAAAGCTGGGCATATAGAGGACGTTGTCGTGGATACAGAGTTTCGCGGGAAACATTTAGGGAAGCAAGTGGTTGAGTTTCTAATGGAACATTGTCGTGCGATGGGTTGTTACAAGGTGATGCTTGATTGTAGTCTGGAGAATAAAGGGTTTTATGAGAAGTGTGGGTTGGTTAATAAAGCTATTCAGATGTCAAAGTACCTTTGATTAATAGAAGTTTTTGTCTTACTTTTAAGTTTTCTCTATTGCAAAATATTTGATGATTGGTTAAAGGGAATATAGTTTGGGAAAATTGAAAAAGTTCTTAAGCAAGCATGTTCGTAGTCATCTAATTTGTCATTGTACTGAAGAACTTTGCGTTTAATCTTGGAGGAATCAACCCAAGTGAGGAAGTCTTCCATGTTCCGAGTTACTGAGAAAGCTGGATCAGTGATTGTGTCTGGTCCTACACGGATGTGTCCTTGCTCTGTATATGTCACTGCTTCTGTCAAGTGCTCTACGTACTTGAGGTGAACCAGTACTGTCGATAGCCTACGCCTGCAAATAATTTAATAAAATCACATTAAAATGATATCATTGGTAGCTCTCAAGGGACAAAGGATAGATAAACCCTTACCTACAGAAGGAGGAAACTGATAACCGATCAGTTAAAGCCAAGCTTTTCCTTGTCGGTATAACGCCCATGTTGTATCTGAAATACATGAAAGAATCATAAGCCACTAATCCATTACGAAAACTAGTCTTATTCATTGCAAAGTAGAACCACGCAAACAACAAGAATCAGTAGAATGGCATTTTTTTTTCCTATATCTCTCATAACATATTTTTCAGTAACTTAGCTCTAAAGATACCATAATGAGAAAGAAAAAAAAAAACAGATTCTGTAAGAATTCGAGGACTCAATCGATTCCTCAAAATCGTTAACCAAAAAAACACTGGAGCTATATTATAAAATTAACTAAAAGAGACAAATCTCTTGTTCAAAGACGTTAGTAAGCGGTACACACTAGCAAGGAAACCTCACAGCTTCTCGAGAAGCAAATCAGTCATCTAAATACGAAAAAGATCAGTTGCATCCATCTGTTTCATCACATTAGTCAGCTTCTGCACCATCCTAATTTTTTATCTCTCTTCTTTTATTTTATTTTATTTTTGCAGAAAAGTTTAGAAAATTTCTTGATATTAAAGACATGTGGTAATAACATGTACATCCTCCCTAAAAGATTAGTGAGTACAGACAATTTAGAGAGCTCTTGCGAGATATATTCAGTAAAGTTTGAACTTAAATCATGGGATTGAATGATTTTAACATTTGAAGCATATGACCCAAAGGCATATATAAAACTCAAAATTGTACTTCAAGTTGGTGCCTTGGTGGTCACAGTCATATTGTATAATTGATATTGCTTAGTCAAAAGTTCAAAATTGATGACTTGGCCAAATCCAGCTTGGGTTACTATCCACCCTTGTGGTCGCTTCTTCAACTTGCACACATTATAAAATCGTCTACTCTGCATTCAACTAACATCACATGTATACATAGGTCATGTTTTGTCTGCATAGCATGTGACTAATTGTTGTTCGTTTGTATGTTGTAGGATCTTGTGACTAGTTTTGCAACTATCGACGGTCATAGAAAACTTTAACTTCAATTTACTAAAATTTTCAACGATTTAAACTTGTAATTTACGTTTAGTAGTAAACCGAACAAATGCCATATCAAACGAACATACCATACTATTACTATCCTTACATGTTCCTTTTTGTGCAATGAATCATTGAATCTCACTACACTTCATGTCCAAACAAACTTAAAAACCCATTATGCTAGCTAGATCTATCCTGTATACTTTAGTAACAAAGTCGTCACGTACGTAACATTATTTCTATCAGGAGCTATCAATGACTAGAAAACAGGTTAACAAAACTGGGGATGTATAGGTGCTGGTTCGTCCTAAAAGTTGTCTCTATAGAAAAGAAGTAGAAAAGAGTAAGAAATTTAAAGAAGCACTAAATGAAAAAAAAAAAAGACAAAAACAAAATCTTTCAGAACAGTAACAGTTAACCACCACACTCCATGACATCATTTACCACGACCAGTTCTTCTTCTGAACCAATCTTTCCCTCCATACCTCCCATAAATACATATACGAGATTGTTTACCTCTACATACATATAAGAGAAAGAGAAAGATAGTAACTAAAACATGAAGTGTTTGTTGTCTTATCTTGTGTTCATAGAGCTTCTCTGGTTTGGTTATGGCCAATCTACTGATCCTCAACCTCTTGCTCCAGCTTTTTTCGTCTTTGGAGATTCCTTAGTTGATAATGGTAACAACAATTACATTCCCACTCTTGCAAGAGCTAACTATCTCCCATATGGAATTGATTTTGGCTTCCCCACGGGCCGTTTCTGCAATGGCCGTACAGTTGCTGACTTTGGAGGTAACTAAAGACTAATAAAAAAAATCATGAAATATAGTTTTTACTTCTTTTTTTAAAACTAGACTTTGTTTGTAAATGAAGCAATGTATCTTGGTTTGCCATTGGCTCCACCATTTCTATCTCCTGTATCGATTGTTCGAAACCTCATGAGAGGGCTTAACTATGCATCTGCAGCAGCTGGGATCTTAGACGAAACTGGTCAACACTTTGTGAGGATCAAGAATATTATTATATACTTATAAATAAAGACTTTTAAAAAAACTCTTTTGATCTTTGTTTTTTTTTTCTTTTCCAGGGAGCAAGAACTTCTTTCAGTGGACAGATATCACAGTTTGAGATGACCATCGAGTTAAAGCTTCGGCCATTCTTTCAAACCTCTGAAGATCTGAGGAAGTATCTAGCCAAATCAATAATTGGGATCAATATAGGAAGCAATGATTACATCAACAATTACCTTATTCCTGATAGATACTCAAGCAGCAAAATCTACAGTGGTGAAGACTATGCAAATCTCCTCATCAAGACACTCTCAGCTCAAATATCAGTAAATTAATTAAACTCTCTCTCATAATTTCATAGTCACAACTTCTCATACTCATACTCAGAAAGTATAAAGTGTGTTATATTTTGCAGAGACTATACAACTTAGGTGCAAGAAAAATGGTGTTAGCTGGAATAGGACCATTAGGTTGTTTACCAAGTCAGTTATATATGGTAAACGGCAACAACACCAGCAAGTGTGTGACAAAGATCAACAATTTGGTTTCGATATTCAATAGCCGATTGAAAGAACTAGCAAACACTCTCAACACAACTCTTCCAGGATCTTTCTTTATCTATCAAAATATATATGATCTCTTTCATGATATGGTTGTGAATCCCTCTAGATATGGTAAAAATGACCTCAACCTTTCTATTCATGCCCTTAATCTCTCAACATCAAAACATAGTCTTAGATCTCTCTTTTTTTTGCAGGTCTTGTTATATCAGACAAAGCATGCTGTGGTAGCGGGAGATATGGAGCAGCCTCGACATGCCTTCCTTTGCAGCAACCATGTTTGGATAGGAAGCAATACGTCTTTTGGGATGCATTTCATCCAACAGAAGCTGCAAACAAAATCATAGCTGAAAATACTTTCAGTAACTCTGCTAAATACTCTTACCCTATCAGTTTATATGAGTTGACTAAGCTGTGAGAAATGTGTCTCAGATGCTATCTTTTCCTTTCATTATCAGATTACCCTGGTTTACAAGACTCTATTTTTGGATTTGTATGTAACAAATGCCCAAATCTTCAACATCATAATCTACATTCACAATATTATAAGTTGAATTTCTTTCTCCAAATGTTAAAATTCATATAAAATAAACCAAACAAGTACTAATAGTCTACATGTTTTCACCAAAAAAAAATCAAAAACCTCAACCATTTTTACCAAACAAAAAAAATAGATTTAAAATATAGTTATATAATTGCATATTAAAACCCGAAACAACCAAATCCAAAACAAACTAATATCTAAATAAATCAGACTTAATATCTTTTTATAAATAACAAAATTAATAATTTCATCTCGCGAAAGGCGCTGAGTAATAAGTTGAATTTCTTTCTACAAAAGTTAGCCAACAAGGCAAGATATTATTCTTGAACAGTCATTATTTGCAAATAACCTACCTTCTTAACCCTAAGCAACAACTAAATAATCTCTAAACCCTAAGCAACCCCTAATCCCTAAACTCTAAGCAATTGATTTTTATCTTTAATTAATTGGGCTCAAAAAATTTCCTCAAGCCTTCTTGCTTGTTAAATCATGGGCCTTATTAAGTTTTAAGATATATTTTTCCGGGTCGGGCATAACTTCTATCCGGGTCGAGTTACAAGCACAGAAAAGAAGCAAGGGTTTTTAACTGAGGGTTTAAGGCGGCTTCGTCGTGTACTCTTTACTCACCACTTCTTCTTCTTCTTCTTCTTCCCCAATTTACCGATCTCTTTCTATGTTTCCTTCCCCATGCGATCGAATCTCTTCAATTTCGTATTGTTCACACTCTGCTTTATCGATTTTGTAAACTCAGTGTAAGCTCGATTGAATGTCCAGTGCCCAAACTCCATTGTCCTCGGCAAATCAAACAAACGTATTCAATCATCTGATTCCTTTCCGTAAACCCTTGATTCCCGAATCCTTCCCTATGTGGAGAAACATCGCTAAACTCACCATTTCAAGGTCAGCTCGTAGCCTTCTCGGGTTTTCCCACGATCCCCTCCTCGTATCGAAAGCCTCAACCTTTCGTCTCCCTCTCTTCCCGGACTCAAAATCTCACGAATTGGGTTTTTTTACCGGGCGGGTCGGATCCATCAAATGTCGCGAATTGGGATTCGGCAGAGGGTACACGAGCGTAGCGGAAGAGGTCTCGTCGTCGTCGACAGACGTGGAGGAAGATCCTTCGGTTATCATCGACGAGGTTCAGGAGCTATTGAAGGAGATGAAGAAAGAGAAGAAGAGAGAGGATCACCGCTCGTGGAGGATGAAGAATCAAGAGAACGTGGGAATGGGTCGGAGTAAGTATCGGAATCTGTGGAGGAGGCAAGTTAAGATCGAGACTGAGGAGTGGGAGAGAGCTGCTAATGAGTATAGGGAGCTTTTGGCTGATATGTGTGAGCAGAAGCTTGCTCCTAATCTTCCTTATGTCAAGTCCTTGTTTTTGGGGTGGTTCGAGCCGTTGCGTGATGTTATTGGTAAGGAGCAGGAGTTGTATAGGTTAGGGAAGAGTAAAGCGGTTTATGCGCATTATATTGATCAGTTGCCTGCCGACATGGTTGCTGTTATCACTATGCATAAGTTGATGGGGCATTTGATGACTGGTGGGGATAATGGTTGTGTTAAGGTTGTTCAGGCTGCTTGTTCTGTTGGCGATGCTATTGAACAAGAGGTTGGTTAGCTCTCTGGTTTCTGCTTTTTGTTTATTTCAGATCTTTTGCCAGTTATCTTCTTGGGTTGTCTGTTGTGGAAGTGTGAATGTATTGTTTTCTTTTATATTAGCCTATAAGGTTCCCTTACTTTGATCTGCTATATGGTATTTGGATGTCATGTCTTTTTAATAGCGTTTTTCTTGATTGGATAGATAAGAATATGCACGTTTCTGGATAAGACGAGAAAGAAAAAGGAGGATGACACTGAGGAGAGTGGGGAAGTTGAAAATGGAACTTCTTCAATGAAAGAACAAGATAAGTTAAGGAAAAAGGTCAATGACTTGATAAAGAAACAGAAGCTGTCAGCAGTTAGAAAGATATTGGGGTCACATGATTATACAAAACCATGGAGCGCAGATGCTAGGGCGAAGGTGTGTGTATTGCTAAGTAAAAAAAGGCTTATGTTGGTTGCTTACGTTTTAAATAATTTGCTTAAATTCATATCCCAGGTTGGAAGTCATCTTATAGAGTTGTTGGTAAGAACAGCTTATATACAATCCCCAGCTAATCAGCAGGATAATGATCTGCCTGATGTCCGACCTGCCTTTAAGCATACCTTTAAGACAGTAGCGCAAGGAAGCATGTGAGGAATTTTCCGGTCTATGGTTCTCAAGTAGTTCGCTTCTTCTTGTCGTGAATGTCATAGGCTTATCATATTTCGGCCTTTCTTGTACAACAGGAAATCTGGGAGAAAATATGGTGTAATCGAGTGTGACCCTTTGGTCCGCAAAGGCTTGGAAAAAACTGTAGGTGACCAATTATCGTTTGCTTTGTTTGTCACAATAACTTTTACCCAAAAGAAAATTGTGAAAATCTTTCAGAACAGAGTAATATCTAAAGAGTGTTTGACTTGGGTGCCGCACAGAGTAATATCTAAAGAGTGTTTGACTTGGGTGCCGCCTGTAAATATGAATGGATAGATGTAGAATTTAAAGATTAATGTATAACTAAGACGTCTGATTCCTATTGTTGGAAGTGTAAATTTCACCTTTTCTGTCGTGCAGGGGAGATATGCAGTGATGCCATACATGCCAATGCTGGTTCCCCCTCTCAAATGGTCGGGGTAAGTAAAGCTTTCTTTTCTGTATGCTTACCGTAAGTGAAATTGCATTTTGCATGGCATTCCTAGGCGAATTCTTCAGTATTATAATAGTTATCTTACTATGTTTTGTGAGCAAGACTACTTACTCGGATCTGATAGAAACCCTAAAGCTAAAAAGGAAAATTTAAGATTTGTACAGCTTCCAGAAAGTTTAACATCTCTTCATAATTATCTTGGAATAGTTTTACTGTAGTGAGTTTTATTTAAGTGTTTTCATTTTTCAGATACGACAAAGGTGCTTACTTGTTCTTAGCGTCTTATATCATGAAAACTCATGGAGCTAAGCAACAACGAGAGGCAATTAAGAGCGCTCCCAAAGGACAACTAAAACCAGTCTTCGAGGTCAGACAATACAGTTTCTTCACGTGCTTTATTTAAGTAGGGGGGAATCAGTTACCGTTGTTAATTTCTGTTATGGATATTTTCTAGGCCCTGGATACACTTGGAAGTACTAGATGGAGAGTAAATAAGCGAGTCTTAACGGTTGTAGATAGAATATGGAGCAGTGGCGGCTGTGCTGCTGATCTGGTGGATCGCAGCGATGTGAGTTACTACATTGATCTTATAATGATTACTGTTTTCATCTGTACAATAGTTCAACATTATTGCTCTTGTAGATATTATAATTTTGATCTCACGAAGCCTAAAATTTCCTGAATGTCAAACTGCAGGTTCCTTTACCCGAAAAGCCGGACACTGAAGATGAGACCATTCTTAAGAAATGGAAGTGGGAAATGAAATCTGCTAAAAAGGAGAACAGCGAGAGACATTCTCTGCGCTGTGACATAGAACTCAAGCTTTCTGTGAGCTTTCTCCCCCTCCCCCCTTGGCATCGAAGTAACGTGTCATGTTTAGAGTTCAGTTTGGTAAGTATTGAATATTAAAAATGTGACAGGTAGCACGAAAAATGAAAGATGAGGAAGGTTTTTACTATCCCCACAATGTTGACTTCCGGGGACGTGCATATCCCATGCCCCCACACTTAAATCATCTCGGTTCTGATCTGTGTCGGGGTGTTTTGGAGTTTGCTGAGGGAAGGCCTCTGGGAAGTCCAGGACTGCGCTGGCTGAAGATACACTTAGCAAACTTGGTTGCTGGTGGTGTAGATAAGTTATCATATGAGGGACGTCTAGCTTTCACCGAAAGTCACTTGGATGACATATTTGATTCCGCAGATAGACCACTTGAAGGAAGCAGATGGTGGCTGCAAGCTGAAGACCCTTTTCAGTGCTTGGCTGTTTGCATAAATCTCACTGAAGCTCTCAGAAGTCCATCTCCGGAGACTGTTCTCTCACACATTCCTATACATCAGGTACTTTCAAGTGACCACATTGACATCTCACCCAGGATTGAATTTTTTTCTTTTTCAATGTGTTTGTGTGCCTGAAAATGAACTTTCCTTTCTTTCACTTCTGTTCAGGATGGTTCCTGCAATGGTTTACAGCATTATGCCGCGCTTGGGAGAGACACAGTAATCTCTTGTTTTTATATTCTATGGTGATTTTTTATTTTCTCTGGCCGCCTGTCATCTTTTTTTGTCTGATTTTCTTTTATTTTAAAAATGATTATCATCAGATAGGAGCAGAAGCTGTTAATCTAGTTGCAGGTGAGAAGCCGGCAGATGTTTATTCAGAAATAGCTACCAGGTAAGCTCTGCATCTACTGCTTAAAGCTGACTTAATTTAAAAAAAAAAATTGCAATCAAAGTTTCATATGCGTATGCGCCACAGGGTTTTTGAAATTATGCGCCGAGATGCAGAAAAAGATCCTGAAATATATCCAGATGCATTGCGTGCAAGAAAATTACTCAACCAGGTCCATCTCTGAATTTCTATTTAAATATTTTTTCCATTTTAAAAAAAAACTATTGTTAAATCGCAAAAAAAAAAAAGATTTCATGAACTGTTCCGATGTAGGTATGGTTTAATAAGACTTTAGTCTTGTGAGCAAGACAGCAAGTTGCCTGAGATTTGTTTTGTTTAGTCAATCACATAACTTGGTCGGTTGTTACCACTTGATGATTTAGGTGGATCGGAAGCTTGTAAAGCAGACGGTTATGACATCAGTCTATGGTGTCACCTATATTGGTGCCCGGGATCAAATAAAGAGAAGGTTGAAGGAGCGCAGTGCATTTAGTGATGACAAAGAAATTTTTGGGGCGGCTTGCTATGCAGCAAAGGTATATTATTAGCGGCTGACGTGAAAGTACTTACACTAGAAAATGTGGATTTGGAAAATTCCATTCATCTGATCTTCGAAGAATGTGTGCTTAAAATGTTTAAACTACACATGTACTTAAATGCTAATAGGGAATAATCTTTTGGTCTTGTCATGTTCGGGGCAGGTAACAATGGCTGCTATGGATGAAATGTTTGAAGCTGCACGAGCCATCATGCATTGGTTTGGTGAATGTGCAAAGGTGTGTGTGTACCCATTTTTTTCAGCGTCTACTATATTTACTTTTTTACTCTATTTAAGATTTCTTATTGAAAAAAACAGATTATTGCGTCAGAAAACGAAACAGTACGATGGACAACACCATTGGGTCTTCCTGTTGTGCAACCTTATCTCCAAATGGGAACAAAACTCGTAAGTCTTCCTAAAATGAATAACATTGTGCGAACACCATTGCTTTTGTCTGTTGAATTTTAAAATGTGTAATGGATGTCTTTTTTCTTTAAAATCCAAATGAATGCAGGTAAAGACATCCCTCCAAACCTTATCGCTTCAACGTGAAACTGATAAGGTCTGCCTCACTCAGCTTTACCTTGATTTTACTTCTAAACAAAAGATACGTACAGAAAAGAGGCTTCTGGTGCTGTGGCTTGTTCTCTGAGAGAGTTTTTGTGGGTATTGGTTTTTTTTTTTTGCAGGTCATTGTCAGGAGACAAAGGACAGCATTTCCTCCAAATTTTATTCACTCCCTCGACGGGTCTCATATGATGATGACTGCAGTTGCCTGCAAAAGAGCAGGCGTGTGTTTTGCAGGTTCTATCCCTTTTTCGCAGCTTAAAATCTTTTTTTTTGGATCTCTCTCGAAACCTTGATCTTGTGTCAACTAACACCACATTGCTTGTATTCAAACAGGAGTTCATGACTCATTTTGGACACATGCGTGCGACGTTGATAAATTAAATAAGATATTACGGGAAAAGTTTGTTGAGCTGTATTCACAACCGATACTAGAGAATGTAAGCTTTCATTAACTGTCTCCATCTCCAGCTGTATATCGCCTCTAGGGAAGTCTGAACATGACATAGCTGTCTTTTATGTTTTTTTTTATCAACAGCTGCTGGAGAGCTTTGAGAAATCGTTTCCTCATTTAGAGTTCCCTCCTCTGCCTGAACGAGGAGATTTGGATTTAAAAGTTGTGTTAGAGTCACCTTATTTCTTCAACTGACAAAGAAACCTATGGCTTCACTAGCTGCTCCGCAGAGTGATCTTCCAAAGCTCTCAGGAAACAAGATGAGAAAGAACAGGGTATCTTCTCATCCCGGGGCTTGAGCTGTGTGTAAGAAGGAGAGAAAGCTTCTTGCAAGGACCAGAGCTAGGGAAAAGCTTTCTGCGTTTTTGTTTACAGAGACGCAGTCAAAGATAAGAGTTAACATGAAAAAGTTTTGACACTTTTTGTTCCACACTGTGCTGATGAGATAAAGAGTAGTACCGTAACTTGGTTAGGCTTTGTTTGATGTTGTGTTGTAAACCGGTCGGTACACTGTAGGCAACTACTGTATCAGGGTGGAAGGGCTTGTATAAGAGATGGATTAACTGAGAAACAGAATTGGAAGTTAACTTTTTTCAGAATATAGAGATTAAAGTACATTTAGTTCATCTATTTATATAATTGAAAAGCTTAAAATAATCACAAGTCTTCGGAATTGGTAAATTAAATGATACATTAAGTTATAAAACAAACTAATTTTTGACCTACTATCCCTCACGAATGTATTTCATGTATAAATATATGTTTATATTAGTTGTAAAAAGTATTCATATTACTGTTTCATAGATTATTGAGTTATGATATCGGTGTATCTTATTCATTTTATGATGTCGGTGTATCTTATTCATTTTGTTTAATGTCTTTTTTCTAATTATTAAATTATAATTTTTGATATCATATTTTTTTATTTGCTAAACTAAACAATCAAGTGTAAAATATTAGAGTATATTATTTAGATTATATGTTTTATTAAACTATACTATAAATTTTATAAATTTAATGACTGAAATTATAAATTAAAATTAGATTTTATAATTTAGACATCAACAGTTCAAAAAAATAAGATCTTTAGTAATTTTATTAGCAAAGGTCATTTTAAAATTGAATTGGATAATTTGAGTTTAGACAATTTAGTTTTGCTTTAAAATTATTGGACTTTAAATCTAAATCGAAACTCATATAGAAGCAAAAACTATTGTGTTTGAAGACAAGACAATGACATTTTATTGTAATTTTTGAGGAAACCTAAAAGTTAAATATTATTTGTACTCCCCTTTTACAAGACATATTAAGGATCTAAAGATTGATTACAAGACAAAAAAAATGTTACAAGACAGATTAAGGATCTAAAGATAAAATGTTACAAGACAGATTAAGGATCTAAAGATTGATTAATGTTTTTTTTTTCTTTTGATCAACAGATTGATTAATGTTTAAAGTAAAAAAAATACAGTTGTTTTATTCAATCCAAGCGTTGTTAGAAAATAAATGATTCTTACTTAAAAAAGAAAGGAACGAAAAATCACAGCTCGTGGATCAACTAGAAGCGATTCTATGGCCGCAGATCGAACTAGAATAATGGTATCGTGATTCGTTATCCTCTTCTTCTTGATTTCAGATCTATTCTCTGATGAAGTCAGGTAGTGCGGCGAAATTGATAGTAGAAGCGCTGCTTCAGCGATTCCTACCTCTCGCAAGACGACGAATCGAGACTGCTCAAGCTCAGGTTTCGTCTCCTTCCTTCCTTTTTTTAACTAACCTGGTCTTCTATAGTAATAATGGTGTTCTTTATTTGGTGATGGATGTTTGCTCAGGATGGACAGTACCTTCGTCCATCAGATCCTGCTTATGAACAAGTCCTCGATTCCTTGGCTATGATTGCTCGTCACACTCCTGTCCCTCTTCTAGAAGCTCTTCTCAAATGGAGGGAAAAGTATGTTTCTCTACTTATCTCATCTTTGGTGCTTTCTCATATGTAATTGGTAGTTTCTCTGGAATATTGTTAATGTTTTTTTTTTTTTTTTTTTTTTGTAACTGCCTTCTTCCAGTGAATCACCTAAAGGTGCAAATAATGCATCGACTTTCCAGAGAAAGGTATTTCTCTTTTGACTTTTCACTTGACAAAAGTCTTAATAGTTTTAGTAACTATTAAATTCGGTTTTCATTTTTCTGATATATGTTTTTTACGATTACTGAATTAGCTGGCTGTTGAGTGCATCTTCTGCTCAGCTTGTATTCGATTTGTGGAGTGTTGCCCTCAGGAAGGGCTCACCGGTTTGTTACTTTCTCTTTTCTGTTTCATTTCCAACGAAATGTGTGTATAATTCTTTGCTAAACGAAGAACTTCTTGTGTGAATGGCAGAGAAGCTATGGTCTGGACTTGAGAATTTTGTTTTTGATTGGCTAATTAACGCTGACAGGTAATGAGCTGCTAAAATTTATATGATTTTCCAATCAGTATGCTTTTATCCTTTGTTTTTTTTTTGACATGTAAAAAAAGCTAATTTTTGTTAAGTTTTGGGTGTTCCTCCGTTGCAGAGTTGTTAGCCAAGTTGAATACCCATCACTGGTTGATTTGAGAGGTCTTCTTCTTGACTTGGTTGCTCAACTCTTGGGTGCACTATCCCGTATTAGGTATTTCATTTTGTTATGTTAGTTGTTAACGGTTCTTAAGCATACTAAAGTATAAAGAAAAACAAGGGGGACTTATTTTGGACAAGTTTTTGTTTGTTAAAGCAGTGATCCAGTTTTGAGCCGCAACCTCGATTATTCTAATCCTTTATTACTGTGATTTTTCACGAACAGGTTCAGCTCTGTCACTGAGCGTTTTTTTATGGAACTCAATACCCGCCGGATTGACACAAGTGTTGCAAGAAGTGAAACTCTCAGCATCATCAATGGGATGCGATACTTAAAGCTTGGGGTATGTCTCTGTTTTATTAGGAAATGCAGGTTCAGGAACTGAACGTGACTTTATGTTTATTTCCAGGTTAAGAGTGAGGGTGGGCTAAATGCGTCTGCCTCCTTTGTAGCTAAAGCAAACCCTCTTAACCGTGCTCCACACAAGCGTAAAAGTGAGCTTCATCATGCGCTTTGCAATATGCTTTCTAACATTCTGGCGCCACTTTCCGATGGTGGCAAAAGCCAGTGGCCTCCTTCAGTTGCAGAGCCTGCGCTGACACTTTGGTATGAGGCTGTTGGACGCATCAGAGGGCAGCTAATTCATTGGATGGAGAAACAGAGCAAGCATCTTGGTGTACGTCTATCTGATTTAATATTACTTTATCATGTTTTCCTTGTGATTTCAGTCCTTAATATGTATAACTGGGCAAATAGGTTGGCTATCCGCTTGTGACTCTTCTTCTCTGTCTCGGAGACCCGCATATATTTCATCAGAATTTAAGCTCTCACATGGAGCAATTGTACAAGCTTCTTAGAGTAAGTTTTCCTGCACTTAGAATTTCATTTAAGTAAAATGCACGAGATCAATTGTCATGTCGTCACATCCTGATGCAATTGTAGTTATAGCAGCGTCTTTGTAAGTAGTCCAGGACCTGTAGTTGCATTGGCTTCTTATTAAAGCCTGTTCTAGGTAGTATATATATCTTGGTTTCACTCATTATAGTACATACTGCACATTTTGCAGGATAAGAACCATCGTTACATGGCACTTGATTGTCTTCACCGGGTGTTGAGGTTCTATTTGAGTGTCTATGCTGCTACTCAGCCACCAAATCGTATATGGGATTACTTGGATAGCGTGACCTCACAGTTGTTAACAGTTCTGAGAAAAGGAATGCTCACTCAGGATGTCCAGCAAGATAAACTGGTTGAGTTTTGTGTGACCATAGCTGATCATAACCTTGACTTCGCCATGAATCACATGTTACTAGAACTGTTAAAGCAAGATAGTCCAAGTGAAGCAAAGATTATTGGTATTCGTGCTTTGCTTGCCCTCGTTATGTCACCGTCGAGCCAGTATGTTGGCTTGGAAATATTCAACGGTAACCTGTTAATAAATTAGGCCGTTAGCTGCTCTTAATAAACTTGTCTTTCATACACGTAACGTATGTTAATATTCCTTAACAGGCCATGGAATTGGCCATTACATACCAAAGGTGAAAGCAGCAATTGAGTCAATTTTGAGATCCTGCCACAGGACCTATAGTCAAGCTCTTCTAACATCATCGAGGACTACAATAGGTAAACTTACTTGTACGCAGAAGGCTACTGCAAATCTTGTGTTTTTGCATTATCTCATTTCTAGCTGGGATTATCTGGCTAATACTTCTTCCTGAAAACATTTATTGCTAACCTTCAAGACATATGCAGATGCTATTAATAAAGAAAAGTCTCAAGGGTCTCTCTTCCGATCAGTGCTGAAATGCATACCTTATCTGATAGAGGAAGTTGGACGGAGTGATAAGATCACGGAAATAATACCTCAGCATGGTATAAGTATTGATCCTGGAGTTCGAGAGGAAGCAGTGCAAGTTCTGAACCGGATTGTTAGATACCTTCCTCACCGTCGTTTTGCAGTTATGAGAGGGATGGCGAACTTCATCTTGAAGCTTCCTGATGAGTTCCCACTCCTCATTCAAACATCACTAGGACGCTTGTTAGAACTCATGCGTTTCTGGAGGGCTTGTTTAGTAGATGACAGGCAAGATTCTGATGCTGAAGAGGAAAAGAAAACAGACAAAGGGAATGATAGGTTCAAAAAATTATCTTTCCATCAAGCAGCAGATGCAATTGAGTTTCGCGCCGCTGATATTGATGCTGTTGGCCTACATTTTCTTAGTTCAGTCGACAGCCAGATTCGGCATACTGCGCTAGAATTATTACGATGTGTACGTGCATTGAGAAATGATATTCGAGATCTCATGATACAAGAGCACCCAGACCATGTTATGAAATTTGAAGCTGAACCCATATACATGATCGATGTCTTGGAAGAACATGGGGTAAGTATCTTCTGTGTATATCTCACTCTTTAAGAGGCTTTACAATTTTAGCCTTTAGGCGGGCTATGGTATATACTGTTCTGGCTCTATGGAAAATTTTAGATTGTATCTTCTTTTTTATTTTATTTCATTATTATATAATAGGATGATATAGTTCAAAATTGCTACTGGGATTCTGCCCGTCCATTTGATTTGAGGCGAGATTCCGATGCCATTCCTTCCGATGTGACTCTTCAGTCCATAATCTTTGAGAGCCCTGATAAGAACAGATGGGGTCGGTGTCTCAGCGAGCTTGTTAAATATGCTGCTGAGCTCTGCCCACGCTCTGTTCAAGAAGCCAAGTAAGTATATTTCTTAGCTGCATTATCTTCTGTGTGTTTCTCCTAGTATCTTTCTGAGCTACATCATCCTTGGTGTGTTTTCTTGGTTCTTGTATGGAATTTTTTTGTTACCTTCTTCTCTGACCGTCAACATTCTCCTAAATCATTCAAGACAGGCAAAAGTCTATAAGGACTAGAAAAGTAAGCCTCATGGATCAACAAGCCTCTCAAAAAAAGATATGCCCTCGTTTAAAGTGCAGATAAAAATTACTTTGGTGCGAGAATTTTAAGAGTTTTCTCCTATGAGAGGGAAACACTCATGACACTATT